TTGCTGAGCTATCAGTATCTTGTGAAAATTAATAAAAGGAAACCTCGCTAAAATGGAGTCGGGAGGTCCGGAGGGGAAGCTCTCACACAGGAACCACTCTACAGGTGGTTCAGGTGTACAGGTACAGGTGTCAACAGGAAGAGACGTACTCACATCTCCTGCAGGAAGAGGCACCACTTTACTGCCGCCAGCAGGAGAGAGAAAATTTTTCTCCTTGCCTGGTGACAGACAGTTCAGCCAATGAGAGACTGTCGCAACTCAGCCAATGAAAAGCCACCATACTTCAAAGTCCCAGTTTCCTCCAACAGACTTTTTGTTTCTAGTGGAATCTCCCAGCTTCTACTTCTCCTCTATAAAAGAGTTTCCTCTCCTTTGCTTTACTGGACTTGCATGTGGTTGCCATAGTGGCGTGTCCTGAACTGCAACTCTTGGCTGCTCCCAAATAAACCCATTTCACTGGTAAAATAATTGCCTGTTTTGTTGTTTTAGGTTAACCTTCACTGTCTTGGTTTCTACCATTTCCTCTTCAGGTTCTGAAGGTCCCTTGTTATCACATACGTCCTGCTAGAGGGAAAATGACCAACTTTTAGGGTGGCTACCGTGGAGACACAGAACAGAAGGAGAAAGGCCAGAGCTCGGGTCCCCCATGTGCCTGCCCAGGTCTCTCTGTCGTGGTCTGGGGCCTTTGATGAGCATTTCATTTGTGGCCAAATGTCTATCATGTTCAGTCACTCAGCAGATATACAGGAAGTACCCGCCAAGTACCAGGCGTGGTGCTGGCGCTGGGTATGTCAGATCGTGAAGAGACAGAGCTGGTGCGTCAGTGCTTCTGCGGAGGCTGGCCACCACCCTCGCTGCCCCGACCAGAAGGAACTCTCACTCAGAGGTGTGATCTCAGCCACATAATGAAAGCTCTCAACCTCTCTGGTTTCTCCTCTGCAAAACAGGATGCAATCACACTAACCTCACGGGGCAGGTGAGCACTAAAAAAGGTGTGCGTGAAAGTGCTCAGCACAATGCCTGCTGCACAGTCACCTCTTGACCTGCACTAGAAAGTACTGTGATAGTAGACAGAGGTTAGATAATAATCAAAAACTCCAATAGTAGTAACAATACCAGCAACAAATACTTACGCAGGCCTCACATCCCACCTGCCCGGCACTGTCTTGGGTTCTTTATGCACCTGGACTTACTCCATTCTGAGTGCTTGTAATCCCTATTCACAACAAGGTGATGCAACTCAGAGACAGCGTGGCCTGCCCAGGGCCACACAGCTAGCAAGTGATGAAGGCAGATGGGCCAGACTTAACAGAACCTGCCCTTAACCACAATGCTGGGCGGCCACCCCTCGCTCCCCTGTGATATTGCAGTTCAAAATAAGAAATGCTTATTTGGTCTTCATCCCTGTACCTGGCACAGAGCTCTTAAAACCCTTGGAATTTCCAATGTGAGGAGAGCAGTCAAGTTGTCTTTTGTGATGTTAATGAGTGACTTTCGGAAAGCCCATAGGTCAGAAAGAGGGCTGGTTTCCGAGGGAACCACATGACTGGAGGATTGGAACTTTCCATTTCACCTCCCCCACCCCCACCTCCAGGGAGGGGAGAGGGGCAGGAGTTTGAGTTTAGTCATCAGTGGCCAATGATTCTGTACCGAAGGCGCCACTGAAAAACCCAAAGGCCAGCATCCCGATTGCTGCAGAGGGTGGAGGTACCGGGAGTGGTGCTTGGAAAGGGCATGGAAGCTCTGGGCCCTCTCCCTGTACCTTGTCCCCTGCATCTTTTCTGTCTGGCTGTTCCTGAGTTACATCCTTTGCATTAAATGGTAATCCAGTGAGTAAACAGGTTTCCTGAGTCCTGTGAGCCACGTTAGCAAATTAATCAAACACAAAGAGGAGATGATGGGAACCTCCGATCAATACTGGTCACAGTGACAACCTGGACTGATGACTTCATCTGAAGGGGGTCTGGTGGGGACAGCCTTGTGGGACTGAGCCCTTAACCTGTGGGATCTGATGCTGTCTCCAGGAAAGACAGCGTCTGAGTTGTGTTGAATTGTAGGACGCTCTGCTGGTGTCGGAGAATTGCCCATTATGGGAAGAAACTCACATATCTGGCAACCAGAAGTGTCAGATGTGAAATGCTCTGTGTGGGGACCAAGAGGGAAGCTCAGGAGTAGTGTGCATTTTTGTCTTTCTATTCCCCAAACCTGATCATCTCACTCAATCTTAAATGCAGATTTAATATTGAGTCCTTCACGTATCAAATGCTCACTGGGTCACGGTTGTTCAGGGTGGAGCATTGTGACAGACAAAAAGACAACGGAGGTCACTGTCCTCCAGAGAGACATAAAAACAGATGCATCTGAAACTGGAACAAAGCGAGGCTTCAAGGAGAAGCTGAGCAAAGGGACCGGACGTGGAGTGTTTTGTTGAGAATGGGGAACTGAGAGAAGGCATCTGGAAGGCACGGAGGGTCTCTGGGGACACGAGGTGAGCAAGGCAGTTTGGGGGCAGATGGAATGATCTCAACTGCTGGGTTTTAAAATATAAATTTTATTTTGCACTTTTGAGTTTGAACCAGGGGTCATGCAATTAGAACCCTTGCTTTAGATGCTGGCTCTGGCAGCATTGCAGAACTTAGGCTAGAGAGAAAATGGATCAGAAACTGTCAGAAATCAGCATTTTAACGTGTAAAAATCCTAGAACTTGTGGTTTAATGATTCTGCTCTCTGTTGTGTTCTTAACCTCAAACACAGCCTCGTGTGTTCAAAAACATGAGTACGCGTTTGAATATACATGGAGAAAAGTCGGCTAATTTGCATGTAATATAACATAACATATTTATTGCCTTTTTCCTAATTTTTTTTGTTTAGAGTCTTTTAAGTTATTACTTTTATACTCAGAAAAAAAGCAATTTTTATTTTCTTTTAAATAAAGCACTTTCTTTTCCATGGAGCTCAAAGTGGCAGCATCTAATTAAGTCCCAGGCCGGTGTGCTGTGAGTGACTGTGTAAATCCACTGGTAACCCAGGCAACTGAAAGGCAGTGGACACTATGTTCTCCAAGCCTGGCCTAAGAGATGCCCTTGGCTGGGGCTTCCAGGGCATTAGCCTGAGGAGCCGGCTGGCCCTGGGACAAACTGTGAATTGGAAGTCAGCTGGGGCCTTTCTCTTCCTTTCTAGGAACCCCAAGCTCTTAGGCCACTTGTCACCCTCCCTCCCTCCCTCCCTGCTCCTCTCGCCCACACTAGAATAAGTCACACATTTCAAGTGTTTTATTGAAGTGGGGCATAAATACAGAAAAGTATGACATGTGATGCTTTTCCTTTTCTCTTGTATCAACCCTGACCTCCTCCAACAAAATTTACATTGAAAGAAAATTAAAGAATCACCCATCCTGTATTTTCTTCTCTGAATTCCATTATATTCACATGTCGATTCTCTCATTAAAACCACATGTGGAATATCCACTCTATCCACACCTGGCTGGCCCCTGGAGCAAACGATGGGCGAGTCTTCAGAGAAGCCACGGTCCCAGGACGACAAGACAGTAGTGACGGACCACATTAGGGAAATTCATGGGGTGGGGGCAGCACAGGGGCAGTGAACACCCAAGGCCCTGGGCAGAGGTACCAGGGGACTCGGGAGGTCGCTGGGGAGAAAGAAATTTTCCTCTAGCCTTCTAGGTGCTCCTGGCTGGTCTGAGAATGAAACTGACATGAAACAGATTAACAGGAGGAAATTAAACACAAGTTTAATAATAACATGCACACATAGCAGAGACCCTGATGAACTAACTCATCAAAATGACCGAAGCCTTCACCTCAAATGCCGCCCTCAGTGGAAGACAAAAGAGGATGCTGGGGGTCACGGTAAGGGGACGTCAATGAGGAAAAATGCAATTTCACACGAAGACAGAAAAGCAAATGTTTGGTCAAGAAGTGTTTGCTGGGCCCTGCAGAGACAGTGGGACACAGAGTGGGCTCTGGTCGCTTAGCCCTGCTGAGTTCCCCCCACCGCACTGAGCCCACGTTCTTTGCAGATGTCCCTGGTGAGAGCTCTCTTCTGGGGAACAGGCCCTCTATCTGGATTCTTTTAGGCAGTTGAGGGGAAGGTCAAAGTTTCTTGTTGAGTCTTTGCGGCCTTGATTGTTTTCAGCTTGGAAGAACCCGTATGCCAAAGAGATAATTTGGGGTGGAAAATTTTGCTCCTCTACTAGGTGATGCTTAAGGTGGGCCTTGAAATCTGACAAGTGGACGGCAGAGCAGGAAGGAAAATCGGTGCAGAGAGAGCAGCACACTGAAGGCCCCGCGGAGTGAGAAAGTAGGACACGTCTGGGTCACGGCAAGCTGCTCGGCTGGATGATGCCCAGCTGGTTACAGCCTCTCTAAGAAGCTGATACCACTCTTACAATTCACACCAGAGGCCACATCAGTGAACATCCTACCACATGCCAGGTCCTCTTGGATTTTGTTCCTCTAGTCTTTCTTCCCACAGTCTGTTTACTTAGCCCATTCTGAGCTTGACCTGGTTCCCAGCCCCACTCACTCCTTATGTAGCCAGTGCCCATGTCATGGTCCCCAGAGTGTCCTGGCTTGGAGGAAGGAACCCACCGTTCCACCAGGTGCCTGAGTGTCTGCTGGGCATGGAGCTGGAAGGCATGACAAGCGGTGTTTATGAAAACTGGAGTAGAGGCGCTGCCAGGAGGAGGAAGGAGCCCTGCACTCAGAGAGGCACATTTCAGGAACGGCTCTGCCCTCGATGGGTAATTCTTTTTCTCCCTGGAGACGTACGGGAAACTCCAGAAAGTGCAAACGCTCCTACTGCCCCCTTACTGGCTGCAGGGACACCACAGTCTGCGAGTTCTCAGGTCTGAGCCACCCGAGCGTGCTTTAGGTGAGAAAGGAGTGAGGACAGAGGAGTGCCTGTGACAAGTTTTGGTTTTGTTTTTCTCTTCTGGAAACATCTTGCGTTGGGTCCAACTACCACCCATAGACGATGGATGCGTGTTTATGTGTGTGTTTATTTCTCACATTCATCAGAGAAAATTCGAACAATACAAAAAGTCAAAAGCCAAAACTAGGAATCACTGATTAGACCATTCCCCAGAGATAGCTGCTTTGCCTTTGGGTTGATTTCCTTTCCTTTCCTTCATGTATAATACGTGTGTATCATACAAACACACGCCTATACTACGTTACCTCTGTATCACGGCTTAGACAATTGGATCATACGTACACAGCTGTAAGTCCTATGTCTTACACTTATCGTCGACCGGTTTCTATGCAAGGAAATGTTCTTTGAAAATTTTTCCTTTACATTCAGTGAAATGACCTTTTTCTGAGTGTCGACACACACATAGGTTCCTGTTACCATCACACCATAATCAACACCCAGAGCAGTTCTGCCACTTCCCCCAAATGCCCTCCCACTGCCCCTTCTTAGTCAGCCCCTCCCCCTGCTGCTACGCCGACACTGATCAGTTCTGAACGTCATGAACAGAATCACACAGTATGTAGCCTTTGGGTTCAGCTTATTTCACTTGGCACCATGCATCTGAGTCTCATCCATGATGTGGCATTCATCCATAGCTGGCAACTTCTGATTGCTCAGTAATATTCCACAATGTGGATATACCAAGATTAACTCATCCATTCACCAGCTGAAGGACGTTTGGGTTGATAATTTACTGTTGAATGACATTTCATCCTACAGATATACCAAACCATATGCAAAGAGTTCTCTATGACTAGAATTTTTAGAACCCCCCATTACGAATAACGAATAATTGAACATCTTTATACAGAATTCTTTGCCTACCAAACATATATGTGTACATTTATATAGTATACACATATGTGAAGCTATCAACAGTGTGCCCTGCAGTGGTATAGGAAAATATAAAAATATATACACAGTTCTACTAGAATTCTCTTATAACATTTGACTGTAAAACAAACTTTCTGGGTCTCAATGCCTTGTAGCATTATGAAAAACAAGAAAATAATAACGAGCTTTAATTCTAAACCAGCAGTTTTAACCAGTTAAACAGAACTAGATTAATTTCCTTTTTCTGAAATCCTGAGCATGCATATCATTAAAAAAAACACACTTTAGGACACTGTTTTCCCAGCAGGAAGCTTCTTGAGACAATGGAATCGCCTGCTGTGCACAGAACAAGGATGATTGCACAAGGGCAGGGTTCAGGGCCACGGGCATCTCAGGACGACAAAGCTGAGTTTCTAGTTACATTTGAACCACTGAAACTGAAGCCACTAAGAGAGGAAAGACAAAGCTGGCACTTTGTACTCCATAAGGGAATGGGACTTCTTTTTGAGTAGAGGCTGCTGCCCTGCAAATTAAAAAGGAAACAGAAAAAATGTCAGTATTGCGGGATGGCACCTACTTTTGAAAATATCCATGCACATGGCAGAAAAGTTTAAATCTCACAGAAAGTTACAAAGTGAAAAGGAAAAGCTTCTTGGCCTCCCTATTTGCACTTTTCACAGAGAATCATTCTTGGTAGTCTGAGTTGTCCTCCCAGGAATGTGTACACACTCCCACACACGCGCACACACACGCGCACGCGCACACACACGTACTCACATAGCCTCTTATCTGAGCACAAATGGAATCTACCACTTGTTTTTTCACCCAGCACCCTATCTTGGACATACTTCCCTATTGGTACACACCGAATTTATTCATTCTTTCTCATGGATGAATTCTGAGTGGATGGATGTACCAAAAACTTGGCCAAGTTCCTCCCTGACGGACACTGCATCATCAGAGTGTAACTGGTGAGGAAACACCAGTCATGGACACTGAGCGGGGACCTGGCCAGAGGAGGGACTCTGGTCACAGCAAATGGTCTGATCATCAGATTTTTAAGAACAGAAATTACTGAATTCCTTGAAACCAACTAAAAGGTGATTTTTTAAAATTATGAAATAATCTGATGTTTTTAATCCCATGACTCCCGACTAGTGGCTCGGGTCCTTGAAAGTTCCTTGCTCCGTTTGAGTTCTGGTCACCTCTTTTTTTTTTTTTCCACTAAAGAAAGCTCGAGCAGCCCACAAATTTGTACTAGGGCTCCTCCTGCTGGACATTTCCTGTACTTGCACTTCTGATACAGTTAATGTTCCCAGACCTCGTTTATTCAAAATTGTTTTTGCTTTTAAATAATTAACTAATTAATATGAAGATAAATGTATTTTTTTTAAGAAAAGAAAATTATGTAGAACTAAACACAGTAATAATGAGTCTCCCTTCATCTATTTCTAGTTCTCACTGTTAGCAATTTGGAGTCATCTTCTCAGAACTATTTCTATCATTTACATCCATTATCATGCACAAGTACAAACATAGTCTTGTTTTCTTCTGCTTTACATGTCTGGGTCCCCGTTCTATGCATTGACTTCTCACATTTTAACTTCAACTTTTCATGTCCATGTGATTTGTGCTTGAGGGCAGTGTTTACGCAGAGAAAAATAGCTATTCGCAGTTACTTTGGTTTTTTTCTTTTTTATTGAGGGATGGTCAGTTAACAATGTTGTGTCAATTTCTGGTGTACAGCACGCAGTTAGTTTGGTTTTAAAAATTAATTTCAGATACTAAATTTATAAATTCAAAAGCTTGATTTTCCCATACTTTCCATTTGATGTATGAGCAGTATGATAATGAAGCCTAATGAACTTTGATAATAACTTTTGAGGGGGCTTCACAATTACTCAAATTCCCTGAATATTTTAAACTCAAGTTATTTTAGGTTACATTGTTTTAAACTTAAGTTTTTAAATACTACATTTTCTTTATAAGATATTTTAAATGATTATAGATAAGCAAAACCTTCTCAAATACTTGATTCTAGTAAACCTAATAAATGTATAACATTTCATCTTAATTCTCTTAAACATTCCTGATTTAAAACTTAGTATAATTCTCTTGATAACTTTCCACTAAAAATCTTAAGTTTAAAAAAAGTTATTTAATAGGTACACTTATAATGGAATCACAGGGCTAATCCAAAAGCTATTCTTACATGCTAAATTCTCTAAAATGTTGCAAATGAATTAAATAATGACAACAAAAAAGGATCGTCCCTAAACTTATCAGAAAACTATTCATAATGTGAGTTGAATTTATATAAAAACTGTTTATTGGATTCTAAACCTTTGATTAAAAGCCCTTTACCCCCTATTGCTAAGCAAGTGAAATTGGTGTCCCACTTCTGTGGCCTAGGGCCAGGACAGAGTCAGGGGACACATTTTGGACAGAGGATTTGAGCCAAGATGAGAGATCTGATGTCTTGCCTTGGCCTTGACTGACACGGCACATCCTTGTGTCAGTGGCATGAGTATGTCTGTTTCCTCATATCCTCATCAATTCTGTAGATTATCAGAATTTTTGGCCAATATTGTAACCTGTAAGTATATAAAGTTGTTTTCTACATATTTTTCACTGTGATTGTGAGAATTTTGTCCTATCGATGCATGATTATTTCCCCTCCCCCAGCTTTACGGCGATATAACTGACATATACCATTTACCATTGTTTTTAGCGGCTCCACTCTATCCCATGTCGTAAGCGTAACCCTTCCATGTATCCATTTAGTTGTCCTTGAGTATTTAGGTCCAGCTCCCAATGTCTGCAATTCTGATTCAATGCCAAAAAGAACACTTTGGGGAAACACCTGTGACCATGTAGACTGCATCTACATTTTAAATCATTTCTTTAGAATAGGGTACCAGGAGTACCCTGGGGTCTGACTTAGATCAAAGATTACGAATAATTTTATAATCCTTGGTACATGTTGTCAAAGTGTTCTCTCAAAGCATTTTACCAGTTTACCATGCCAGCAAGCATTGACTAACATCTTTAAAATCTTTTTCAGCTATTTTTTTTGCTGCGGTATGTCAAAGAAGTTGAGGTGGAAATCGCACCTTATTCAATTTGTATGTCACTCTTATTAGAGCAGTGAAACAATGTTCTATATTTGCCACTGGTGGTCCGTCTTTTGTAAATTATCTACCAGTATTCTTTGCTAAGTTGTTAAAAAGAGATTAGTAAAATTCCCTCCAGGGCAATGAAAGTGGAGAAGAACTTGGCAAAGGGTCAGGGTCCACAGGACTGTGGGCAGGAAAGCACAGGGTGTCTTCAGGGAAGCGGATCAAAGCTGGCCTGAAGTGAAAGTTCCTGGTGGGGTGCAGTGGGTGGTGTGTTTAGAAGGAGGATGAAAAACCCAGAAGGCCAGGCCGGAAGTTTGGATGTGGTAGCCGGGAATTTGAAGGGTTCTGAGCAGCAGGGACAGGAGGGTGGGTTTGATTTTTCAGGTGAGAAAAGTAAAGGCCCAGGTCCATAGACTTACTTCATTTTCTGTGAGAAGACTCAAAACAAACAAGCGAACAAACAAACAACGCTTGCCTAATTCATAGGGAGTGAAGTACAGAGCATGAGAGAGGACTGAACCTCGCCAGCCACCTGAGACACAGCCCAGTGACGGTGGCTCTGCCGTCTTAATTTCCAGTCAGAAGAGCCTTAACGGTGGCCGCTGTGGTCTCTGGAAACCTCACAGACTCGCTTCAGACCCCCTCACAGGCCGGGAGGTCTTGGGCAAGGCCTCTATCAGTTTCTCTGGACCAGTTTCTTCACCTCTGAAGTGCAGACACAGGTCTGGTTGCTGTCGTAAAGAGCCCAAGTCCCAGTGGTCTAGACAAGACGTGCTTATTTCTCTCTCAGTAACTGTCTGGGCTGAGCTGGTGGCTCCAGGGCAGGGGGCACACAGCTCCCCTTGTGGTGTCGCCCTGTCATGCCCAGTGAGGGTGGTTCACCTGACAACAGCCGACAGGAGAGGGAACGAACGTGCCTCCCTTTCAAGTCACACACATCACTCAGCCACAGAGGAAAGGGAGGTGAGGGAGCACTCTGGCTATTCTTGGCAGCCATGAGCCCAACTAACACTCAAGGTTTCTATCACTAAATGAAGAAGGGAAGCAAAACTAGGCGGGGTCGATGAGCAGCCCCTCCCTCTCGCTCTCTCTCCCACAGACATTTATGGAGCGCCACCTACGTGCCACTGCGATGAAACAAGTAAAGAGGAGACTGATGCAACCGCCGAGTCGAATGTTGGAGACAGATGGTGACGAATGAGTTGCAACGTGGCTGGGAAGAGGGGCGCACTACAGTCAGGCTGTGGACAAAGTCCACGGAGCACAGAACAGGGGGCTCTTAGATCCGCCTGTGGAATCAGGAAAGCCTTGCAGACGAAGGGACAAGAGGCACTGGGCCCTCAAGGGTACATACAATTTTAGCAGATAGGACAGGAAGGGACGAGAACTCAGGCAGCGGCATCAGAGATCTTCCTGCCAATACAAATCAAAAGAACAATAAAGCATCATGTTTTATCCATAAGACTGACTAAAATTAGGCACAGATACAGATGCAAGCTCAGGCACAGATGCAGATTCAGATACAGCTGCAGACAGTGCCCAGGGTGGCTGCACGAGGGGCGGAGGGAGCCCCCAGCCCACACCACTGGCGGGAGCGCATCCAGGGGGCAGCCTTTCTGAGACATATCAAGACTCAAACTACACACATCCTCTGACCCAGCAACTCCCCTTCTGGTAATCCATCCCGCACAAATCCTTGCACAAGGGCTCAAGGAATGGAATCAAGGACTGCAGTTCAGCATTGTCTATAATAACAAAACAACTGCAACCACAACCTACAGCTAAGTCAGCCTGCGGCTGGAAAACGGTTAAATAAATGGCGAGTGGCTCTCCTATGGCATACTCCGCAGCCACGAAGAGACCGAGTCAGAAAGTGTGAACAGACTGAGAAGGATGACATCCTTATACTGCTCAGTGAAAAAAGCCCACAGCAGAAGAGTCTGTCTACAGTGACTGCTTTTTGTACAAAAACAAAGGCAAAGGGATAAATGAAAATAAGACCAAACCAAAAATAAATGGATGAACAAACTTACACCTGTGTCTGTGAGTGCACTGAGGACATATGGGAGGAGATGGACCAGAATGCTGAAAGAAATTACTTTGAGGAAATGGGAGTAGAGGGAAAAGAAATCATCTCATTCACTGTTGATGATAGCTGAATACTGGAAACAATCCAAATGTCCACCTATGGGCAATGGGTTAAATAAATCATGATATGTACCTATAACAGAATTCCAGAGACACAGCACCAAAACACCATTATGTGAAAAAAGCACGTTGCAGAATCCTATGCATACTACCACTTATACGAATGGTATAAGAGAAATATGCCTCTGTGTGTGTGTGTGTGTGTGTGCTGTAACAGACACAGAATATTCTAGAAGGATACACAAGAAACTAGAAATCGTGGTTGTCTCTGGGTAAGGAAATAGGGTGACTAGAAATAGAGGAAGAAAGATTTTTTTCACTTTCTCTACCCTTTTATAACTTTGAATTTCACCCCATGTCCATGTACTACCTTTTCAAAAACGTTAACATGACTTAAAAATATATTAAGATTAAGAAATGTGAAAATTGGTCAAAGGAAACCTCACCACTAAAATGGAGTCAGGAGGCCAGAAGGGGGAGCCCTCACGCAGGACCACTCACTTCAGTTACAGGAAGAACTGGGTCCTTACAGACCCCAGCGGAAGAAGCATCAACAGGAATGAATCATCTGTTACAGGTCACAGCAGGAGACATGTATGTGGCATCTTCCCTGAGAAACTGACCACCCCAGCAACTCAGGCAATGAGAAACCGTCGTCGTTGCCCTGAACTCCCACTTTTCTCTGAAGGACTTTCATTCAAAACACCCCTTTCCAACCTCCTCCTTTTTCTCTATAAAATAACGTTCCTCCCCTTCGTCTGTTGGACTTGCCTATGGTTTTTGCTATAGCTTGCTTGTCTCGAAGTGCAATTCCTCTGCTCTTCCCAAATAAACCCATTTTTGCTAGTAAAATTAACTTAGTTTTAAGGTCAACAGAAATCAATGTTCGAAGGTCCTCTTGCTGCTCCACTCCCAGACTCTGTGCTGAAGCTAGTGCAGCCTCTGCTCTGCAGTACAGGCAGGGGTTCAGCTTAGTTGCACAGCTGTTCAGCACATCTGTGCCAACCTAGCAGCTCAGAGCCAGAGGGAAGTGCAGTGCAGAAGTACCAACCTGGCTCTGCAGCTGGGCATTTTAGAGGGTGGGCGCAAAATCATACTGCAATTCACCAGTGTTCTGTAAATAGTAAGGACTGGTTACCTTAGGGAAGCAGGGAAGCTGGGTTAAGACATTTACTTACGAATTTAAGGCACAGTCCGGGTGAGTGCTGTAATCCACGCACTGTAACAGCTTCACTGATCTAGAAACACATACACATACATACATCTGAATCACTATGATTTACACCAGACATTAACACAACACTGTAAACAGGCTATACTTCAATAAAAAAAGGAAAGTAAGTAATGTTTAAGAGATTATTTAAATGACTTCCATTCATAAAACATTTACAGAGTGCCTGGAAGGTACTGCGGATACAAAGTTTCCGACCTCAAAGAACACACAGTTTTGGTTTTTTCCCCCAAAATATTACCCAGCATTTACTGAGCACTTACTATGTACCAAGAAATCTAATTAGGTATTTTACACAGATTATGGCATTCAACCTCCACAACCACCAGATGGAGCAGGGACTACTGTGTCTCCAACGTACAGCTGAGAAAGCTGCCCTGAAGGACCAGCCCAAGTCCTCGCAGTAGCAAGCCGGGGAGCTGAACTTGAACCTCCATGCCAGAGCCCAAGCGTGGGACCACTTCTGTAAAGATGTAGGATTTTGCTTGGAAAAACCTCTTGATAAGAACTTTGGGCAGAAGGTTGGACGTTGGCACATGAGTGATGGCTGGTGGCCACGCTTTAGCAGAGAAAGCTAAGTTGATCTGCACAGTAGAGCAAGAAGCTGTGGGGTTCCAGGCAGCCAGGAGAGAAGGGAAAGCAGCAGTGAAGACAGGGGCCAGGTCGGTGTCTGGTGGCAGGGCGACCGGAGGGGACTTTGGAAGAACAGGAAACACGCTGTATGGTCTATGGCTTGTTATCGTGACACCTTCCTGGGACTCGCCTGCCTACTTTTCAGTCTAGCCTACGCTACTCAGTTTTTTTGTTTTTGTTTTTTTTAGTAGAGCAGTTTGTTATTGCTTTGTTATGTCCCCCCACCTCAAAAAAAAAAAACCCAGAGTTTCACTGAGTCTGCTTCAACACAGCGCTAAGCAGAAAGCAACCAGGAGACAAGAGAGGCTCTGGAAAAAAGACCTCGCCAAAATGTGCATGAATCGTGGGGAGAACTTTTGACTGCCACAGGACAGAGGTCAGTGTCACCTGGATTTTGAGAGGCAGAGGGTTCTCACTCACATCCAGCTCTTAGCTGGATTTGTCACCCTTTGTGGCTCTCCCGTGTAAGCCTGTTGTCACCTCTTCTGGGATCCAGAGCAACACAGAAGCCCACCTGAACACAGAGAGAGCCCACGGGCAGCACAGAAACGGTACCGGAGGACTGAGCTGGGCGTGTGAGGGAGGCGCCCTGAGGCCAGCTTTGGTGGAGGCAACCAGAGCCAGAAAAGCAGGCTGAGACCCTGAGGACAGTTGTGAGCCGGGAAGGAGACCCTGGGCTCTGGCTGGGCCCCACACTTGGCCTGACACCTTATAAAAACACAGCCTCCTTGGGGGAGTTCCTGGGCCAAAGCAAATCAATCATAACTGTGGTCATAACTTACAGCCACAATTTTCTCTATCACTGAGCTGTTTTCGAATAAGAACTACCTTTTATCTAATTTACTAAAATCTGGTGCTTGGATTAAGAAAAGAAGAGTCCTGTAGGAGAAAGAAAAGAGCAAGTTTCGGGGCCACCCAATGCTGGGTTCAAAACTCAGCTCTGTCACTGGCTGGTGACCTTGGGAAACTTGCTTAACCTCTCTGACCCTTAATTTATCCAACCATAAAAAAGGGGAAGTTTATATAAATCTTAAAAACAGACAAAATGAAACTATGATCCTACACATCTGGAGAGTGTGTAAGGCGGGGAGCCTGAAAGAGAGGCCAGGGGAGACCAGGTTGCTGGTTGTGCCGTTTCTTGATCTGCACGCTGGGCATGGGTGTGTGCTGCACCTGTGTCACTCAACTGTACACTTATGGTTTCTGCACTTCTGTGTACATAGGTTATATTTCCAAACAAGAAAATGTGCTTTGCTTTGTTTTTAAGAGGGTGATAACAACACCTAGAGTGTCCTGAGAGCATTAGCAGGAAAAGATGAGTGAAATGGTACAGCTTCAAGCTGTGGAAAAAGAGAACAGCTCTGAGGGGCTGGTTCTCCTGGGGAGGCCTGAGTAGGGGAGACCCACACTTCGGGGCTTTGCTCAGGTGGGAGGGTTATCAGGATCCTGGAACTTTTGAGAAGGCAGAAGGCAGCAGAGCCTGTGGGACGGTCACAGGTGCTGGACAAGACTGCAGATGTAACTTGCACCAGGCCACATCCACAAATGGAAGTCCTTGCCGGGCTGGACTCCAGACCCCGAGGGAGTAAAGAGGCCTGCAGACTTAGGGGCCGACACAGAGAGAAGCAGGTAGCCGCTAGGCGAGGGATTCCCAGCCCTGGGGAGGGCTTTGAGCTGTCCCAGGGTTTGAGCCAAACTTATTTACATTCCCAAGAATCAGGAACGCCTTCAGACAATATCTGATTGTAAGTACATAAAGTGCCTGGCCCATAACGTGCTCTTTAAATGGCAGCTGTGACGATTTTCCTATGGGTCCACAGGCACGATGCATCTGTCTGTCTCTCAAACTCCACCTTAGCACCTATGGTGGACAGTGTAGCATCCAAAGATACTGGAACCACAGTCTCCGTTCTCAGGTGACTCACCAAGCTGTAAGCAAGCAAGGAGGAAACTAGACATACACAAATGACAAACAGCTGCTGTCTGTCCCCTAAGACTCTGGACAGAAGTGGGTGGGCGCCAGGCAGAACTCCAGCCAGAAGGCACTCCCGGTCTCCAAACCCAGTGACTACCCAAAAGGCACAGTTCAAGGCCTTTGGAGCTGATCCCTGAAAAACCCTTTCAACTGCCCTCTGCCCTCCAAAATCACCGCCCCTGCTTTGAATATATGCGCAGATTGTAATATGCCACCTACTGGTAATCATTGATACAGCTGTACTGAAAACCCAGTCTCTCCAGTCTCTCCTCCAGGATTTTCACACTGCCTTCTCCACAGGATTCTCTGAAACACAGAAACATAAATATAAAAAATAAAACAAAAGGAGAAGCGGATGGAGGAAGCTGTTTCTGCGTTAAGCGAAAATTACTTTGTGTGCTCCAGAGATAGTCTCTTCTCCGGAGAACTACGCGGGAAGTTCTTTAGACTCAAACGCGCCGCCAGCAGTCAACGCTCGGCTCCCCAGGAGGGGATGCTCTGGGCCTTCAAACCCGTCCCAGGTTTGCGAGTCACGCACTGGGAGGGTCTGAGCCGGCGCATGCGCGGTGCGCCACACGGCGCATCACAGCCCCACCCCTCACCACAGCCCCGTGCTGTGGGCCGACCGCCCGGTGCTGCCTGCCAGCTGGTTTAGCCCACGGTGTTATTAAGTTAAGCTTTAAATGGAAACAGAAACATGCAAACCAAAAAAATATTAGAAAATGCATATGAACAAAAGGGGGGAAAGCCCCAATTCGCACACCACTAGAGATGACTGCTGCTAACATTTTGGTGGACATCATTCTCGACTTTTTAAATACATTTATTCCCATGAGATTTTTAAAATATAACAATGCTGTTCTGCTGTCTGGCGCCTTTTGTAATCTGTGTTTGCCCATGTCTGTGTATATAGATATATACCTCTCTGCCATTATTTTTAATTCCTGCCTGGTCTCCTTTACACAATCGGAACATGATTCATAAAAGCAGCCCCTCTTGTTAAAGACCAAGGTTCATTCCTACATTTCAACGTCATTGACACGACAGCAAACTTTGTTGAAGCTTCATTTTCATCCCCATGCTTAATTGTTTCCTTGGCATTAAATTCCTACAAGTAGGTTTTCTGGCACCAAGGTTCTGAATGCATTTTAAGGCTCTTAATAAGCCCAGTCAAGCTGAACCCCATGCTGACCACCCCCAACAGAGCAGAAGATGTTCCTCTCCCCACATTGTCATCATGATCACCCTCCTGATGGTCATAATGAAGCAGGGAGATTTATCAAGACAAACAGAGGTGGATACAACGCTGCCTGCTGGGGAGAGCAGGCATGGATTCAGATCACAGGCAAGGCCCAGGCTCAGTTTCCCTGGACTGGGGAGGTAAACAGCCCCCCCACTGTAAAATTAACAGGGCGTGTACGGGGAAAATGAGCCATTGGAGGAGGTTTTCACAAAAGTGGAATTCCAGGCATTACAGGAATGAAGAGGGCAAGGTGTTGAGTGACATCATGTTTGGGGGTTTGGGAACCTTGCCAAATCTGGGACGATGCCCTTCTCCTGGCCAAGCTCACTACTGAATTTTTTTTGGTGAGCAGAGACATGGAGGTTTTAAGACACCTAGACACAGTGTTCAGTCAATGAGTTATTCTGCTTTTTTGTTTTGTTTTGTTTTAAAATAAAGGCAGCCGAGGCAGCACTAAACACAGTTATTAGCTGCATTGTTTTTAGCTCTCTGTCCATGATTTTTTCTCCTAAAATCTGAGCAGTTTAGGACACCCACTTTCTTAGTTCATGACCCACATCTCCATCCTATGGCCCAAATGTGTACAACTTGGGGTTCTGGCCTCTTTTATCATCTCTCCTGCCACAGAAATGATGGGCTGAGATGACACGGAATTGCAATGTCCTTATCTCATTAAAAGTAGACTCAGAGGACAAGCTTCCTCTGACAGATACATTAGAACAGCAGGCAAGCATAATTTCTAGATGAAAAGAAACTTCTCCCAGAAACAAGAAAAATAATGCACATTGTTCTTCACGCAACAATACGTATGGGAAGAGAAAAGCAGATTCTGGTAGGATTATGTAATAAGTCGTATGCAAATTTAATCTATTACCCAAGAGACTGGAAAAAATATCACTCATTATACGGTGAGTCTTAGGGAGTCCTGGGGGTCTGAAATGGGGAATTTGCTAAGATCCTCCCAGAACATGCTTTTAATAACACATCTACCCAATACTGTCCTCCACCGAGCTTCAGTGCTCTGAGGAACGAGGCCCCAGCACCTCTGAAGCACCATCATGGCAGCTTTAACCAGCCTTGACCTCGATGGCTTGTCTCTGAACCAGATGGATTTAAGTTTTTTAGCTTTAGTTTTGCCAGCAGTGCCCTTTGTTGATGAGAAGGATGAGGTTAAGCTTGCATGTTTAGAACCACTTAAGTTAGTGGTTACCCAGAAAAATCACAGATTGTAAAAGTTTCCTCGGCCAGCTATCTGAGACCCAGTTGTGAAACTGGTTGTTCTCTGAGGAGAACCGCTTCATTACACAGCCCATGAGTCAATTCTGAGAACTCCTGGTGAGGTTTTGGAGCTTCAAATGAGCAGGCAGAGAAACTGGCTTTGACCCACACAGATGCATAAGGACCTCTCCTCTCCAGGGCTGCCCAGGTCGCTCAGAAAGGCTGAGAGGACTATCTGGATAAAGGAGCTTTCCTCTGGGCTCAGGACTGGCTAGTGGCATTTCCAGACAGCCAAGCCTTTGCCTTTCTCTGCCCACCAAATTAGAAGCATAGGCGACCATTGTTCCCCTCGAAATGAACATGTAAATGAGACTTGATCATATCACTTCCAAGAAAAGCATGTTTGCACAATGACCATCGCCAGTAGCACCGTAACTTACACGATGGGTCCCCCGATGTTATGCATGACCCAGATCTCAATTCGTGTGATTTTGTCCTTCTGTAAGTGGGGAATTTCAAAATCTGCAAAAAAACTGAGAAACAGGAAAGACATTACCTAAAGTCTTAAAGCAATATGACACTGTTCCCATCACATTGTTAGTTGATTTACATTTTAAATCTTTTGAGGGTTACTTTTTAACTTTCATTTTTATATTGCATTCCTGCATTCATTAGCTGTTAGGGGTATAAATGTATAGATATGGCTCTGATCTCCAGGTCATTCAAATGCTTTGCTCTATCTGAACATACAAAACAAACATTAGGCTGGGGTTAGGATGATTCTCTTAAGTCTCCATTCAAAACAACTAAAACACATTTTGACATCTTTGTAGTCTATGTCAGTGCTCATTCTTACCCTTTTACAGGATAGGCTCCTGTTGGCTCTGAACCATTCAGCATGACGTAGATCACCCCAGAACTATCCTTTGCATACTGCAAAAACAAAAAACAAAAAGAAACAAAACACCAAGTACACTAAGACGTCCTTTTTCAGCTAGGAAATGGTCAATTGTCTTTTCAACTGACAATTCTCCATACTGGAGAGGATGTGATAAATTTGGTATTTTGTAGAGCTAGAAGGGATGACAACTGGTATATCCTGGAAAGCAAATTGCTTTGAAATGTCAAAAACTCATAAACTTAGTAATTCCATGTCTGGGAATCTACCCTAAGAAAAAAATGCAAACGAGTATCAGATTCCAGCATTGTATCAGCTGGAGAAAATTAACTTATGCTGCCATCACAAGCAACCTCAAAATCACAGTGGCTTTAAACAGCGAAGATTTACTTCTTGCACTCCCTGTATGTTTCTCACAGGTTTGGGGTTTGAGGCTTGGATTTGGCTCCCCGTGTCCTCCCTCTGGGACCCAAGCCAATGAAGTCTCCACATCTGCAGAGTCACTGGTTATCAGCGAAGGGAGAAGACTGTGGCAAATCACAAACCAGTCCTTAAAGGCTTCCACCCAGAAGTCACACAATCCTTCCTTCTCACAGCTTACTGGCCCGTGCAAGTCACACAGAAGTAACTTCATGAGACAGAATGTGTATAAATCACGTGTTCAGAAGATGAGCAAGGAATACTTGGTCAACAGCACTAAGGACCATCTGGTGTACAAAGATGTGCACAAAGGTGGATAGTGAAGTATGGTTTGTAGCCAATCTAAGGAGCAGTCAACAACAGGGAAGGGTAAGCACATCATGGCAGTTACGTGTCTGAACTACTAGCCAGCCACTGATAAAAGTCTCCATAAGGTTTGCAATAGCATAGAAGGTGCTTATATTCAAAGCAAAATGCGAGACTAGGTGGACAGAGCATGAACTCTACCTTGTTAAAAATTCATGGACAGAAGTCTGGGACTATGAGTCAACCCCTGAAATCTCCAAGGGAGAGAGAGAGGTTCCAAGAAGTTTCCAAATCTCCAGTTCAGAACACTTCTGGAACATGTAATTTCCCTGATAAAATGTTTATTCTAGACTGAAGGCAGGGGCGGAGGAAGGGGTGTCACGGAGCACTTGAAATTCTGCGCTTGTTCTTTAGCAGAGAGAAACCCAGCACCAGCCGCAGCAAAGCAGCAACCTGCTCCACGCCATGCTCCTCTCGGACTGCTTCCAGATACGCGAACAGTCACGGTTAAATCTGCAAATGCTAAGATCCAATGACCGCTCCGCTAAAGAGGGTCCCCTTAGGTAGCAGGAATACAGATGATTCATTTTCTTATTTACATTTTCTATAATTTGTCATTTTCTATCATGAGCAGCTGTTACATGTTTGATAAGAAAAAAATTTTAATTAAAAAAATGCATGCAGATAGAAGAAGGCTGTTCGATATCGTGGCTGAAAATCTGGTCTCCGGCTGCTGTGCTTACGAGCTCTGGATAAGTCTGGTTAAGTTTCCTGGCCTCTCTGTCCTCATTTTTCCTATCTGTGAAACAAGGATCGCAAGAGTCCCTACCTCATAGGATTGCTGTAAAGATCAAATCATTTAAATAACATTTAACGTTTGTTGAATACGTCTCTGCGGTGGTTCAGATCCTGTCCTCATCACTATTCTCACCGCCTATCCTCGTGCTCAGACTACCCAGCAGATTCTAAGGGTTCATAAAACATGGGCAGGATTATTGGATTCCCACTCTAGAGTGGGAGGAAGTATGGATGATGGCTTGGAGCCGCTTTGAAGTCGGGCAGATTCGCTAGGTAGAGTATCCGGGTTTTGACGTATACTGTTGACATCACCCCTGAGTTGTCGTTGGGACCCCATACTCCGTTGATGTATCTGCAGCCTCCCGCTCCTCAGTGAGGGGCTCAGGCAGCCTGCACTCCAGACAGAAGCTCTGGGAAGCAGGCGCAGATGGAGCTCTCCTTCCCCCGCAACCCGGCCCCGGAGCGGGCAGGAGGGCAGAGAAATAAGAATGTCTTTGGTGCGGACCCCTGCTTAGTTCCAAACTGCGGCTATGGTGGAAGATTTGATGAAAGTCCCCTTCACCCTGATTAACAGGAGACTCAGTGGCCACCTGGGGTCCAGAACAGGAAATGGGACCAAAAGAGACACAGAGAGCCCGGAAAGGGCTTGGCGGTGGTGGGTGGAAGGCCCTGGTGTCCACCGGCCTCCTGGTCAATACAGACAACACTTAATAGTCGATTGCTGTGTCCACCCCAGGGTAAGGACTTCACCGTCTTTATTTGTAATCTTTGGTTTGACACTGGTGACAGAAAATGTAAGCTGTAGTCACTGGCTACGGACAGCTATCATCAACTCTGGTGACAATGTCCTCTGAAGAACAGACCTACCTTTCGGGGACCATTTCTGTGTCTCCTGTTTATCTCCAGTCTCCTGTCACCTCCTCTCCCACTAATAGCTGTCTACTGGACGTTTCTCACCCCCACATCTAGGTCTCAGGTGTCCCAGGGTCTCCGGTAAAGCAGGGGTTACCCCATTTCACATCACAGTCAAAAATCACTGATTTGAAATGCTAACAACAACCATGACGTGAGAGTAATAATAATGACTGTTCAGTGACCTCACCTGGAGCTGACATTCAGAACGTTTTCTCTGTACCAGCCACTGAATTGAGCATTTCAGCTCCTTAAATCCTCACACCCTCGTGGAGCTGAGAGGGTGAATCAGAATGTCGCTGAGGTAGGAAGTGGGATTCAGAGGAGTTCAGTCATGGCCGGGTGGCCCAGCCTCTGAACCCATGTTCACACGTCCCACGCCTGTTCGGCCACCCAGCCACCCGCCCCAGGGTTACCTGGACAGATGCCCTTTTCCAGTAAGAATCCACAGGATTATTTTCACAATCTTCTGCTGTAGGGCAGGATTGGTAGTCGAGTCCTACGGGGAAAAGAGGCAAACACGTTTCATTTCAAAATATTATACCAGGGAAGGCTTAACTTGAAATATTTGTTGACTCTGCAAAATATATTGAACCTCATTCTGCATAATGTGCACAGACTTAGCATTAATGGTTCTGCTCACCTGCTCCACAAGGAGCCTGGCCAGGGAACACCCAACCCCTGATACCAAGACATCTGTCATTTGCTCAACTCAAAGGTGAGGAAGGGCAGAACTAAGCAGCTGGGTATTTCTCTGCTGGCTCTCTAGCAAGTAGGTTATTAATTAATTAATTTATTTATTTATTTATTTATTTAGGCTTTTTGGGGACAAACGCCTTCTTCAGTTAGCCCAGGTCTTGGAAGTAAATACAAGAAAAACAGACCACAAAAGTAATGGTCCTTAACCAGAAAACAGAAATTTTATAACATTTAAAATATATAAAATGCTAAAATGTATTACATTTTAAAAAATTGTAAAGACAAAATTCAGCAGATATATAATGGAATTTGTCCCCATTTAGTCTATTAAAAAAAGGGAGAAATTGCTAATTGACAAGTCATTCCAGGGAGAACCAAACAGGTCAAACTGTGAATTTTTTTATGGTGTTCTTTTTTTTTAATTGAAGTGTAGTTGATTTACAATGTGTTTGTTTCAGGCATGCAGCACCATGATTCATTTATACCAAATCTATATTCTTTTTCAGCTCCTTTTCCATTATAGGTTATTACAAGATACTGAGTATAGCTCCCTGTGCTATACAGTAGGTCCTTGTTGTTTATCTATTTTATATTCAGTAGTCTGTATATATGTTCATCTCAAACTCCTAATTTATCCCTCCTCCACTCCCCACTTTGGTAACCATAGGTTTGTGTTCTATGTCTGTGAGTCTATTTCTGTTTTGTAAATAAGTTCATTGTGTCATTTTTTCAGATTCCACATAAATGTGAACTTTTCGAAGGGACATGCATGGAGCTTCCTTGCTCCTCTGGACACACCGTCATCCACCCTCCCAGCATCTGATGTGTTCACCAACTCAGAGACTCTCTGAACCCCATCACAGAGGCGTTTTTTTGGAGATTTCATAAGATAGGTATGATTGGTTAAATCACTTTGGCTGCTGGTGATTAACTCAGTGTCCAGCCCCTCTCCCCTTCCCTGAGGACAGAGGATGGGGCTGCAAGCACCAGCTCTCTAATCAGGCCTCTGTCTTTTCAGTGACCAGCCCCTCATTGGAAGTTATCCAGGGACCCCCAACCACCAGTCCTCTCACTGCCATACAAAACACACTCATCACTCCTCAGAGCCAGGACCTGTGTGCCAGGAATCAGGGAACCAAGATAAATATTTATGTTGTACTGGCCACAGTCTCCCTCCCTTCACGATCTTCCCATCACACCTCTCCTCCATTCTCTCCCACCCTCTGCAGGATGATCAAACTGAAGCTTCCTAGTCATAGCCAGTGGAAAAACAGCTGTGTCCATTTGATCTGTACTCCGCCATGCTTCCCACCCCACTCAGAGTGAAAGCCAGAGTCCTCACAGCATCCTATGCTGGCTGGCCCTCCTTTATCCCTCTAGCCTCATAGTCTACCAATTGTCTCTTCACTTACTGCCTGTCTTTCTGTTTCTTACATATGCCAGACACACACCCACCTCTAGGCTTTTGCACTTGCTGTTCCCTCTGTCAGGAAATGCTCTTCCTTGTCTCCTTCAGGTCTTGGCTCAAATATCAGCTTCTCAGTGAGGCCTTCCCTGGGCCCATGTAAAACTGCAACGCTTTCCTCGCTACTTCTCACCACTCCAGCCCTTCCTACCCTCTTTCCCCTGTTTTGTGTTTCTCTGTGTCCTTTATCATCTTATGGCAGACTATGTATTTTACTTGCCTGTTTGCTGTTTTCTCTCTGCCCCGACTCCCACCCCAACTCTATAATGTAAGGATGAGGTGTTATTTTCCTGTTTTATTCTCATCTGTATTCCCATTGCCTAGAAGAGAGAAGACAGGCACGTAGCAGGCACTCTATGAATTTTAGGTGGATGAATGAACGAATGGAGGAGAAAGAAACAGAACTGAGCTTAGATTAACTTGTTTTTTTTTTTATTACACTCCACAGTTTCAGTACCAGAATATTTTGTGGGGTTTTTTGTTTGTTTAAATGAAGTATAGTCGGCTTACAATGTTGTGTTAGTTTCTAGTGTACAGCGCTGTGGATCAGTTATACATATACATATTCCTTTTCATATTCTCTTTCATTATAGGTTATTACAAGGTACTGAATATAGTTCCCTGTGTTATACAGCAGGACATTGTTGTTTATCTATTTTATATACAGTTTGTATCTGCAAATCTTGAACTCCGATTTATCCCTCCAATGCCCCCCCATAACCGTAAGTTTGTTTTCTGTGTCTGAGTCTTCCTGTTTTGTAAATAAGTTCATTTTTGTCATTTTTTTTAGATTCCACATATAAGTGATATCATATGGTATTTTTCAGGTTAACTTTTAACATGACTCCAGTACCCAGGGATGAAGAATCTCCAGTCTTCACGAAGGGAACACCTCCTCCACCCCCTTTCCTTGCCAGCCTTGGTCCTGTGCGTTGTTCAAGACTCACCAGGAGCCAAGAGCCACTGGGATGCTCCCCCAGCTCTGGTCTGTACCCGTGTCTCCTTCTGCTACTCTTAGCTCCCAGTCCTGCCTGCCTCAGAGCACGTCTCCAGACCAAACGCCCCTCCCAAGGCCATAAGCTCCCTGAGGATCGAGACCACTGAATCGCCAGCTTGTAGCATAAAAATCTACCATCAGGCCAGCCCTTGAGATTTTAACTTTCACTATGATTTTAATGTCAAAAATTCAGTTCATCTGCTGGCGGCCTGGAGTGGCTTCAGAATCAGTCAGAAGAGGGGTGAATCCTGGCCCTAGTTCTTCCAATCATTTCACCTTCCAAAGCCTCAGTTTCCCCCTCTGGAAAATGAGGATAGTGAGGCAGAGCTGTGCAGAGCTGGGAGGACGATCCCTGGAGTCAGGCTGTCCGGCTCTGCTGCTTATGTGCTGTGCACTCTCGAGCAAGCTTCTCAGCCTTGCTGTGCCTCAGTTTCCTCATTTGCCAAAACAGGAATCAGGATAGGACCCATCCCACAGGGCTGCTGCAGGGATTAAATGAGCTAATAGATGTAAAGTGCTTAGAACAGTACCTGGCAAAAGATAGGTGCTCTCCATCAAGTATAGTTGTTATTATTATTACTGTATGTTATTATGCTGATGATAGTTATCATTATGATCACTTACCTGAGAGGATTTCAGGGGGATCAGATGAGATAAATTCATATGAAAGCATTTAGCACAAATGGCAAATGCATAGTAAATAGGAACTCTGACTTTTCCTGTGATTCGTGCAGAATTCTTACCAGAGGTATTTTCCTGTCGACACCAGCTCAAGAAATCTCCAACCCTGCCGTACAGAACATTGCACAGCGGCATAAAGCGACGGCCATTCTCCGCGTAGCTGGTAACAAGGAGGTGGTTGTTTTCCCAGAACAGGGACTAAGGAAAAACAAACACAAAGTGAAAATATAAACTAAAATCAATACAGATTTCTTCGGGCACAGTATCATCAAGACAAGTCTGGCAAATCATTTCTCATTCGACTGTGACTTGCCTCAAAACCACCAAACTTTCTTTTTCTGTGCCTTTATTTACCCATTCGGAGAGCACCACTATCTCTCTTTCCTTTATTCCAAGGGTATCATGCAAATATTAGTGAAATATTTTCCCAGTCGTAAAAAAATATAGAGAGATGGATAGACAGATAGATAGATGGATGGATGGATGGATAGATACACACAGACATACATCCATAGATTTTTTTCCAGTAGTTAAAAAAATTATAGATAGATTTTTTAAAAAGAAATCAAGGGACCTGGGTTGGAATTCTGGGTCTGTCACACACTAATTGCGTGATCTTGAACAAAGCATGTCATCTCCCTGTGCCTCAGTTTCCACATGTGAAAAATGGAGAGTATGAGCCCTTTCTCTCCCACAGCTGTGGTTAGGACAGTATATAATCACAAAAGGAATTCCTAAAAGGTAAAATGCCTCAAAAATACATGACTTTTACATTATACTTTATAGTTTCCATTCTAAAGTTACCATGTTTTCACATAATAATAATAATACAAATCGTGCAGTCAGATCCTCAGTGTTCCAACCAGCAGCGTCTGCCCAGACTGGATACTCCCCGAGGGCAGAGGGTGTTTTGTTTCCTGAAACCCTGAGAACAACACCTGGTACATGGGAGCAGCTCAGTATTTACTGAGTTTATCAACCAAATAATAACAAAAAATAATGGCCCCCCTTTTCACTGACAGAGAGGCTGCAAGGTTCCAAAGGCAACATAGACTTAAAAATCACGTTTTCAGTCTATGGTATATTTGAACCTCCCAGCTCCATTTACCTGCCTTAACAAATGAAAAAAACCCATGTTGAGATGTTTTCATTTGTAAACATCAGTGTTACTTGACTTTACAATGAAAAAATCAAGGTAAGAATTTATGTCAAAAACAGATGTCCTTCATTAAAAAGAAGGAATTTATGTCAGAGAAATAAAAACAGTATCTAAATTCTGTTTAAGCCTCAAGGTACTGTTCTAAAGCATTTTACATCATTTTCTCACTTGCTTTTACCAAAGTAGATCTTAGAGTACAGACAGAATATAGACATGTAAACCACATGTTTGAATGGATATAATCTCAAAGCCCATTAAAACGAGGGACTGGTCTCCTGGAAGAATAGTGAGATGGAGGATTTTCTGAAGGACTTAAGGCTCAGGTCTTTGGGGCCAGTTAGGATGCAGATTATTCCAAACTGGTCGGGTACAGGGGTCCCGTGGGAAAGGTGTGGTGATGCCCTGATGTACTTCTGGTTCCTGCACTGACTTTTTGATTTAGGAAAGTTCCTTCTGTCCATGACAGGCAGTAGACCCAGGGTCACTGTGGAAGACAAAAATGCCTTCCCACCAGAGAGCTCAGAGCACATGGTGAGTTGGGTGCTCGAGGCTTGGTTGGCAGAGGCACTGCCTGTCTCTATGGAGACAGAGCTGGTGGAGGCAGCCTTACCTTGTCTCTGGGAATCGAGTGCCAAGAGAGATTCAAAAAAAGGTCGTAGTCTGAGGGAACCACGGAACAGGGATTCTTATCCAGCACCACTTTAAATGCCTCCCAGATAGCTGTGCAGTTCTTGTCCCTGCAGAAAAGCACAAGTTCAAAAAAAAAAGACCACATTTCAATGTAATACATTTCTGTTTCTCTCTCCAAGAGTTTTTCATGAGCAATTTCCCCAACTATCAACTCTGCAGAACTAGGCATACAAAAAAGACAGGAAATTGTCATGACTCAGGCATTCCCTAATTCCCAAGAGGAAGAAAAACAACTTTGGTAATGCATTTAGAAGTCTGGCAGTGGGCGTGTCCTTCAGAAAGTGCTACACGTATTTCATAACAGGCTTACAGAGACAGCAGAAAATGCACGGGCTCGGGGTGCCTCTCCATTCACACACAGGTCCATTGTGGGGCTGGGGGACAGGTGTGAGCAGGTGACGCAGGACTTTATAAAATCAGGAGTGCGCAGCAAGGGTTGAGAAAGGCTGTTCCACCTCCTGCTAAGGCAGAAAGTATGACCTCCAGGGCTCTCCGCCACCCCTGAAGTCCAGTCTAGTGTTCCAAAAAACTTCCCCACCCCATCTGTAACTTGTTATTTCTCATATTGGGCGGTGAGTTCCTTGTATTGTTCTCTGCTCTTGTTTGTGTGAAATGTGGCACAATAAAAACAATTGGCACAAGAAAGGAGTTTATGAGAACAGAACAGGTGGGGCCAAAGAAGGAACAAAAATCAGTAAGAAGCACAGTGCTGGCAAGAGAGACTCAAACTTTAAAAGTCCTCTAAATTAGAAGATCTGAAATTTTAATTCCCGGAGTACCTGGACTCGAAGAATTCCAGCGGGAGACCGTGTTTCTGGGTGTGACGGTTCTGGTTGAGCTTACGCTGGCGGTCATCCAAACGCACGACTACCGGTCCTCAGCTACCCCCAACAACCTCCTGTTCAGTTACACACACACACACACCCCCTCACAACCAGACCCCACACAGTTCACCCCTCCCAGTAGATTCCCCGTCCCTGCTCCCTCTCCCCGGGCCCTCGCCCGCCGCGCTCACCGCAGCTCCGGGGGCCCCAGCGCGGAGGACTCGGCGCAGCGGCCCAGGAAGATGCTCTGC